ATATAGAGAACGAGGACGGATGGACGGACGGAGGGACGCAATAAGGAAAAAGGAAAAAACAAAATGGAGAAAAGAAAAAAAAACGGTAAGAAAACCACAACTCAAGATGCACAATCACACACAGAAAACGCATGCAAAAAGCAACATGAAAACCTGGGATAAGCGGTGGAGGACATTAGACTGTGAGCCAGAAGGCCAGACCCCTCTCTCCCCCAGGATCTCCCACCTTCCCTGCATCCCACATCCAGCACCTAGAATGGGGTCTGGGGGCGCAAGGAGGCGCACGTCTCCGTCTCCCTCACCCAGCTTTCTGGGCTCACAGTCTAGAACGTGGAGGGAGATGCATGCAGAAGTCAAGGTCTCATACAGATATAGGGCCACAGAAGTCAAGGGCAAGCTGAGAGAATAGTCAAGGCATGAAATATCAGAGGGTTACAGGTTGGGGGGGGGGGTCGGCCAGGGGGAGGCACCATGTATAAATTGAAGAGGGGTACCAAGGGTCAGAGATGTGAACTAGGGAGGGGGCAGTTGCTGAAGGTGTAAACCACGGGTGCCCAGGTATGTGCTTGACATTGCAAGCCAAGAACAAAAGAGCCTGAAGGTCCGGGCCCAGAAACCCATGGTGGGAAGGAAAGAGACCCAGGGGGAGTTTCCAGGGTTAGCGTCCCAGCCCTCACCCACCCCTGAGCCCCACGGGCAGGTCTTCTCCCAGCATCCTGAGAAGCTAGACAGACTCCACAGGCCCCCCTCCTGGCACCCCCATCAGCCTCGGGGGACTCCCAGGCCAATCACCCGGCTGCCTTCCTTCCCTCCAGCCTGGGCCAGCAGCCAAGAGGAAAATTCCTGCCCGGGACTCAGCGTTCCGGCAGCTGGGGCTGACTCAGTGGGGCCCCCGCTGTCCCCACTCACTCACACCCCCTGCCCAAGAGCTCCGGCCCCCACCTTGTTCTTCTTGCTGAAGGGCCAGCGTTTGGCACGGCTGCTGCGGGCTGGGCCTCGCAGCTCAGGCCGTCCATCGGAGGGGGTGCCCAGGCTGCTGTCCGAGGGCGCGCGGTTCATGGGCTGGCTGAAGTCTTCGAATTCCACATCACCCGGGCGGGCAAAGCCTGACTTGTGCAGCTCGATTAGGACCTGGGAGTCCTGGAGAGAAGGCATGATGAGGGGGAGGACCGTGAGGGGTGAGATGAGGTGCTTAGTCTTCGAGTCCTCCTGCCCACCCTGCAGTCCACTGGCCCAGGACAAGGCACCTACGTTCTTGGAGTCCACAGCCGCCGCTGCCACCTTCATGCCCTCCAAACACTTGGCGATAATGGGCACCACCTGCAGCTCGGCCTCTGACAACAGCCCGTACCCGGCCCCCAGGTGGGTGGCCCGGCGCTCGTCCATGTCTTGCAGCTTCTACAGGGACAGGGGCAGGGGTGCTGATGGAGGGGCGGAGCACAGCGACTTCTAGCTCAAGGTGGTCAAGAGAGAGACACGGGGCCAGGGAGATTTCAGAGGGGACTTTAAGGAATCGCTCCCTTGCCCCCCCCCCGCCCCCTTGCCTAGAAAATCAAGAAAGGCTTCTCAAAGGAGGTGACAGGGGAGCCAGGGCTTTGAATAAAAACTGCTTTTATTGGCACAGATACTGCCAATGCCAAGGTCAGGACAGAGGGTGGAGTATAAGGCTGAAACAAAGGAGGGGAAATTCAAGACCTTTCAGAGGGGTTGTTAGAGCTGGAGCTTAGAATGATGAATAGGAGTTTCAAAAGGAAAGACATCCCCAGCAGAAAGAACAGCCTGCGTAAAGGCAGAGCTCACTGTTAATATTTGTTTCTAATTCCCTTTCAATTGAGAGTTCAGGACAATGCAGCTAGGGCTTCGACAAACATGTAGGAGATGATTAACACGGGG